AGTCTGGTGGCACGGTCGACGCTGGAAAATTTCGTCAGTTGCAATTCTCTTTCAAGGAATGCTCCATCGCATTTTGGTGGGTTGCTGCTCACCAAACAATCAAGCAACCTGAGCAAGTTAGCAAAACAAGTTCGAGACAGTTATGTGGGAACGCGACTCACCAGTGACCTTGGGATCAAGGGTACCGCTGTGACCGGTCTTCTCAACGCTGCACAACAGAAAAATATGGTTAGCGATGTTTTCTCGACAAAACTCAGAATGTTCTGAAAGATAGGCGAATGCCCCTCAAAATCGTTCGATCGTGTGTGGTCTCGGTTGACAGACGGCAACGGCAGTATCCGCAGTCCCAAGACGTCGCAGTCTTATGGTGGTCCGGGCAAACGAGTTCCGATGATTGCTTCGCGAGGCATGCCTTCCCATGGCAATGCACATCTTTCCCAACATGACATGCTAGTCTTTGTTGCCATATTTCCGTGTAGGCCATGACCATCGAGTCGCAATGTCATTGGAAGTGTCCCCCCGGGAAGTCCCCGACCGCACCGTGTGGAGCCATCTGCAAAATGCGTCTTGTCGCCGTCGGAACTCGCTGACCAAGTGCCACCATTAATGCCAAATTTTGATGCTGGTCATTGCCGTAGAGAGATTCGTCTTCGATGTCGGGAGCTAATCGTACGATCGGGCGCGGGGCATTGCATTCACGAACACAACAACGAAGGGGTGGGAATTGCATACCGAAGGATACGCTTGACCCAAGCGACAACCTCGTGGGAACTGGGCTATGCGATAGTTAGTATGCTTGGCTAGCCATATGGAGTATCGCAACTACGGAAACATACGTTGGAGGGCTTGTCAAGGTTGATGACACCGGAAGAGATGTAGGACTTGATGTCTCTCTTCAGAGGGCTGCATCCTGCCGGAATGGGGGTGAAGTGACCCGTCCGGACGAGAACTGTAAGAAGCCTGGTCAGTCATTTGTTTTTGATGCTGTTGACGAGCGGTCGCTCCATATCCAAGAAGAGGGAGAAAACTTGCGCTTGTCGTAGTTCTTGAGCAACAGAGGCCAGCTGCTCGTGTCCAGGTGAGGAACAGAGGCCTGGGGCTTGATGGCGAACTCCTCCTCCTCGCCGTGCTTGACAATTTCCATGGCCATTATTTCCGAATTGAACCGAACCGACAAAGGCGTGTCAGGTGCAATGGGTGTCTGACGTTGGCTCGTGAACGTCGGAATGGAAGGTCTCGTGGTGTTGGAGGACTTGAAGCTTCCCAATCCAAATTTTTTTTCTCTGGCTGTGGGGTGGAAGCTGCCAAAAAAATCCGCCTGGATCCACATTGTGGCGCGGTGTTGCCATTGAGCAAACACGATTGGTCACGCTCCAACGCCTAGCCACACAGCGGACGCGCCTTGCACCGTTCCGCCTTCCTCAGCCAGGGACCAGCCGTCTTGCAAAGAAAACTTGGAAGGAAAGAACAACCAAAGAAAGTGGCTTGTTATCGTTATCAACGATACCTCCACAAGGGACATGGGACGAATGACGACAGGCTAAGGTAAACCTCAGAATCACATTGACAGGAAGCATATCTCCTTATCCTTCCTTCCTTTTCTTCGTCTTGATGCTAACTGGTCAATTGCACTTATGACGATATCTCACGTTCATTGCAAGTAGGCCTACTCTGCAACCGAGCCGATCTTGTTCAATCGGTATCTCCAACTCCAAACTCCCGCTAATTAACAAGCCTATTGCCCTCATGAATGACAGCTGCGCCAGATCAACTTCGAAATCTCGCATTGTTTCTCAAGTATTCCATCGCCGATCAAATATACCTCCTCCTAAATTCTTCTTCAGTCATCCCTTGATATGTCCCCGGGTCGTGCTCTGCATATGCTTGATGTGCTGGGTGTTGAAGGATTGGCGGGCTTGCATGTCTCTGCCGTGCTTCCCAGTCGCCATCGACTTCTCTCAGCTCATAGGCCTCGGGTTTCCCCTTACCCTTATCCTCAGGCCAATTGTGCCCCGCATCGTCGCCTCCGAAAGCCAGGCCAATCTCCTGCTGCTGACTGCTTGGGGCTGCTTGGTTGGCCGGCCACTGCATATGTGGCGCTTCAGTACCGCTGACAGGACTGTTGTACTGAGATGAGTACGGCGAAAAGTATCTCGGAAACGCGTTCTCTCCCTGCGGGCTCAATGGCGAGTCATCATACGTCCGCGGGAACACCTGGCTCTGTGGCGTGTCATCCCAGCTTCGCAGCGGACGCTGGCTCAGTGGAGTGCCGTTGAGGCCGGCAAGGTTCAACGGCGCTGGCCATCCGGACGGGCCCTTTTGCTTCATCTCAAGCTGCTTGAGGTACGCCCTACGTCTCCTCTTGCCGTTCCATACGATGCAGAAACCAGCCATGGCAAGAAGCAGGACTGCACCTCCGATGGCGATGCCGACAATGCCGCCTAGACTGATGGGTCCCTTGTTGTAGTTTGAAACATACGTGTTGGTGGGTGTCGGCTCAGTGATATTCACGCGAGTCTTCGAGAAGGGGGAGCCTTCCACAGAAACCGTTGTACCGGGCGTCGGCTTCTGTTCGCATCCAGCATCCAGGATGGTGATGACTAGCAGCTTGTCAGTCGGACTTCAAGACCATGGCCGTTGCGGTACATACAATTGGTCAGATAATTGTTGTTTCCTGCGCGGAGACATGCCGAGCAGCTGGCGACCTGGTTATGGTCCCATACATCGCAGTATTCATACTCAGTAGCATTGGAGGCCAAGTCACCGTACTTGATGGCGTTTTGCAATGGCTCACACGCAGTCCTAATTGGAGATTAGGAGGTAAACCTAGCAGCGCTTCAGAGGGAGACAAACCTTGTTAGACACGGGCTTGAACCGACGTCTGGGTTATCTGGGTAGCCGAAGACGCAATAAGAAACGGCATATCTGAGGTTGTCTGCAGATGTGTATGTGAGTACGAAAGTCACGTTCGAAGGAGCGGCACTTGCACTTACACAGTAGCCATTGTGTGTCTGTCTGGTTACTAGCAGTCGCAAAGTCGCTGGTCAACTCGCAAGATATGCACTGCTGATATACAGAGCCAGCCGCGCTGCTGGAGTACGAGTGTTCGTCGCAAACAACGTCATTCTTAGTCGTCGAGTCGAGTACGTTGCCGCAGAGTGTCTCGCAAGGTGAACCATCGGCCACGTGGATTGCAGACACCCGGCCGAGCCAGAGACCGGCCACAAGTGCGCCTGTCGTAACTCTCATGTTGGGAAAGATAAAGCGAAAGGCCGGCTTTGTGTACGTGTGTTTCTTCTTCGCTTATTACGTCCTACAATGCGATCACCGCGGAAGGGCGATTGACTGCAACGCGGAAGGTCAGTTGACCGGGCCTGAAGTCGAATGATGAGGGGCGAGGTCCGCTGGTGTTACATTCCGGCGTGGAAGTGGATTTTGCAGTCCGAAAACCTGAAGCAAAGACTGAGCGCCGGGTGGGAAGCTTGAAATTTTGTATGTTCTGGGCGAAGCCGCGATCCGATGATCTCGAGAGGTTCTTCACGATGTGACGACTAGTCACAGCGACACTGAAGCCATGCGAAACCAAGCTTCATATGTGTTTCGGTGTTTGCGAGAGAGAAGTTGGTTACGGTTGTGATTGTGACGAGGGGCGCAGGTCTCTGCATTCTCATCACCTCGTTGGTTCTACTCCGTACTGGTGTGTGTGATTGGGGTCCCAGAAGAATTGGGGTGGCACGGAGGTCAGCACACCTTGGGGAAGAGCCATCACTACGTAGGGCCTCTGGGTTGGTCTCCTCGACCACCAGGCCGGGTGAACAGCACGCAACCTGCCTTGAAGGGTAAGCTGAAAGGGCCTCGTTGGTTGTGGCCAAGAACCCCAATGGTCTGCAATAACACACCACCGCCCGTTGGCTCCTCGTTGTTGGTGGATTCGGGGGCCAAATGGCGAGAGATACAGATCTGCCTGCTCTCTCTCAGTCTCTCTCGTTGCTTCGTCCTCCTAGCGCCGAGGTGGACGGTGGCGTGCAGACTGCTGGTCGGCCCCAGCCACTTAGAATGCAACAACCCTGGATGGGCTATGGAGCTAAGATGCAAGAATCCCTGTCCGATTTCACACTTCAGCGACCTCATTCGGGGCGGCGGGAACCCCTCTCCGTTAGGTGATTGGTCGTCGAGTATGTTTGTCTGCTGGCGGAAGAGACCCGTTGGACGGCCTAGCGCCCTGAACGCAAAGGAATCAAGGCGTTCCTGGCTCCCGTGGTTGGTGTGATATGCACCGGAACAATCAATTACTTGAGCCTCGACCAGAAGTGAGCCTGGGCTCAACATGTCGCTATGAGGAACGACGGGCAAACAGGGTAGAACTGCGGAATAGTGTATGAACCGCGGCTATCTTACGATCATCAACTCACTACCGTCGTCTAGCGGAACCACCCGGCCTCGAATCCTTCAGAATGCAAGTCAAGCGCGGTTGCCCCATCTAAATGCCCCTCAAGCTTCACCCTGAGGTAAATCTCTTGGATTCATGCCCCGTGTATTGGCAAGCGCCAATTACAGACACATCAACGAGATGACAATGACGTTGTACGCATACATCTTCGTGTATCTTGGCAAGAGATATCGACGTTGACAGATTACGCATGTTCCCGGTGTCTGCTCGTGGGTGCGAGCATCTGATGTTCGAATATCAATGCATTTTCCATTTGCTCATAAGAATATCCGCAAGGCCTCGAAGGCAAAAAAATGGAAGTACATGTAAGGAATGCTACGTCGGCCGGTACCCGGAAAACCAATATCAACGTGCACTCCATCCGTCCCAAACCCACCTTGTCCCTCAATTCATGTCGACGTTGCACCCTTGTCGATCTATTCATTATGCATGTATATCCTCTCGTGCAGATGATATAACTTCGCCCCTGGCAAAGAGCTCCTAACTCCCCGCTATCCTAGATAAAATCGAAAACAAATATGGCATGAGCCATGCCTCTGATTGGAGGCATCTATGCTGCTACGACTTGCGGTCCATCTGCTGTTGGGCCGACAGTTCTATCGGTGCAAATCAAATCAGGAAAACTACCCGCCAAGTCTGAGAAACCCTTTCCTTCAACGCCGAAAGGCTCGACGTCACGAATGATGACCATGGCACGAGGAGTCTTGGGTTCGAACAGTGGTGTAGATGGCGATCGGCCGGAGCTCGATATCGTCTCAATCGTCTCAGCCAAAGAGGTTGCGTCGCTGACTTTGGGAGATTTGGTGGCCGAGAACCCAGGATCATTGCCTACAGCGCTGGCCGATGCGGCAACAGCGCTTTCAGTAACATGCGATGCAGCCGGGGACGACGCTGATCGACCAGATGTCAGACCCGGAGATAGTCTGTGTTCTGAAGAGGTTAAAGTAGACCCTGGAACTGATCCTGTAGAGTGCCGTCCGTGAACAGGACAGTTGGGGCAAACAATAGCCTCTACTCTTTCAAAGTTGGGCTCGGAAGCCGGAGAGCTGATGGGAGGCTTGGATGCGATTGAACTTGCTCTGTCCCGTTCGATGCGGACTATCTCGTCAGACGCGTGCTCTACTGGAAGGGAAGGATCGTGAGGTGACATCTTGGGCGGTGAGAACTTTGCACCAGGTTGTCGGCCACGGCTAGCCGCACGTGAAGCGGAACGTGGTCCGACTTGTCCTCCACTCATTGAAGCTCTGGAAGAAGGACGAGCATTCCTTAGGTTCTCACGCTCAGCTTCTGTTATCGAACCGGTTCTTGCGCGGTTGTTCATTCGGGACATCGGACGCTGAGGTTGGGTGTTCTGAGTGTCCGGCAGTGCTGGAAGTGATCGTCGATTGTACTCGTCATGGTAAATACTCGGACTGGCTGCGATCAGGATGGACGAGAGATGCTCACTTGGGCGGCTCCTGCTGCAGTTGCGAGACTTTGGGGAGGACGGCCGGTCGGGCTGAGGAGTTTCGGTTCTCTTTTCCTCCGACTGAGCTCGATTTCTGTTGACTGATTCTGCCCTTTGAGAGATGGATCCTAGCTGCTGCGAGACTTGTTCGCGGTGTGCCAAGGCGGACTCGGATCGGTCTAGCATTCTTGTTCGACTGGCGTTGCGCGACTTTGGCGATGACGGCCGGGCTGGTGTAGCAGAGTCACCTCTAGGGACCTCTTTCCTTTGACCATCGCCTTTCGAGCTGTTTGAATCTCCAGAACGTGTCTTGCTAGAGTGGCGTGCCTTCGAGCTCTGAGACGGGGCACGTTTCCGCTCAGTTGGCGGCTGATCAGCGGCCTTTTTTGACTTTGTGCTACCAGCAGTGGCTACTGTGCGCATGGAGTTTGAGGAATGCGCGCGAGCAGTTGGCTCGTTCTGAGGGAAAGGAGGAAAGTTGAAGGATTGGGTTCTGGTGTGATCCGGCTCTGCGACCCCATTTCGACCTTTTGACTCCATCGGAGTCTTCAATAGTGTCTCAGAAGGCCGCCAGAAATAGCGAGGCTCCAATGGCGACTGGTCGTCAAACGGGGTGATGGGAGTGAAAGGCATCTGCGTTATTGAAACACTGCCGCCGTAGATCTTCAAGTTCTTGTCCACAGCGCGGTTGCTTGTAGGATACCCACTCAAGGGTGCGCCGCTATGGGGATAAGGAGTGCTGTCTTCAGGTGGACGAGGGTTTGAGGCGACCGACTGATTGGAGAGAACCGACTGAACAGAGCGGACGGACTGGCTGCTCTGCGGAACTGGGCTTCCGGATTGCCATGGCTCGAGAGGAGGCGACTGTGGGATGATCAATTTGGGCCTGATTGCCATAGGTGTCGGGCTCGGAGCAGTTGGCGTCGGCAGATTGGACTCAGTGGACTTCGCTGAGATGCCTCGGAAGTGAGCTCCGGCGGAGGAATCAGTCGGTGGGATTTGAATCCTCGCTGGCGGCGACTTAGTTTGCTTTGACGCTGGCAATCTCTTTGGCGACTGATAAGAAGAGGTGGAAACAGAGGGTGGTTTGGTCGGAGGTGACGTTGGCTGGGTTGGAGTATGCGAGGAAAACCCTTGTTTCGTGCCTTTTGATGCATTTGATGCTGGCGTTGAGGGACTGTTTCCAGACTGTTGCAACTCAGAGTGTACAGCAGACGGCCTCTCGGGCTCTGGACGGTAAACCAGCTTTGCGTACGGCGCATTGTTGGTATCGATGACCAGCAGTTCCTTTTCGCCTCGGCCGAGGAGTCCGTATATCTTGACCTCGCCACCCTGAATCCCAATGACTGCACTCGTACCAGCGTAGACCGCGTCATCCTCGTTACCAGTGCGATTACAGAAGACGACAATGATCTCCTCATCATTTTCCGCCCGGATCAGAGGCTCCAGACGGGTGACCCAGTAGGTCAGTGTGTCCATGTCTGGTTCATTTGGCATCCGGCTGAACAGGCGGCCATCTTCCCTAGTCATCCACGCCATCGAAATGATAACCAAGTTCGAATCATATTCGAGAATGTGGAAAGCAAATTCGAACGCATGCCAAGGCGCCTGAAACTTGTAGGGGCTGCTCAAAGGTCAGCACAAGGTCAGTCATCAGTGATAGAATTAAGCTCACTTCAAGTCCATGCCTGTAATTCGCGACGGTTAGTGAGAGTATTTCAAGCAAGAAGCAAGATATACACTTACAGATGCCAATGGAGGTGTTTCCAAGTCCGGGAATCCAACCCTCATAAAACCCTCTATTCCCCTCGAGTGCCCAGGTCTCATCAGTGTAGTAGAGGAAACTTTTCCGGTAGTTTGCGATCGTCTCTCCATCTCCGTTAACTACAATAGCGGAGTTATAGTATTCGGGTCCCGTAGGCCACTGATTCGTAACATCGACCTTCTCGGGATATCCAACGACCACATTGCAGTTGTACTTGAGGGCTGTGGTTCGAGCCCACAAGGAGGTGATGCCGGAGCCTGATGGCTCGAGAAAAGGTGAAATGTGCTGTAACGACTTGAAGTTATATCCTACATATTGTCAGTACCAGAATAGACAATGCGCTTGATCCGGCCATTGTCAGAGGAGTGCACAGCTGCTCGCTAATCTACACTACATATAAAGAAACCCCAGATTGCGGCGGTAAAACTCACCTGAGAAAGCCAGCTCAGGCAGTACAAGAAGATCGAGATCGTCCGTATCCGCCTTGCTCAAAACAGAGTCGGCGCGGTTGAGGTTATTGTCGATATCGCCCACTTGGGGAGCGAACTGAAGGCAGCCTATCCTCATCTTCGGTTGGTGTCAACGGCGAGTGCGACAGGTCGACTAATAAGTCAGATGCCTCGTCTCCAGGAACCCCTCGACCGGTCGCACGGCTCGTCGCAACGGAAGTTAATGAGAAAAGTTTGTATAACGAATACATTAAAGAGACGACGAGTTCGCGATGCCAGAAGAGTGTATGATCGAGGAACGGGGGCACGCCGAGGAAGAAAAGGCTAGTGCACACTAATCCAGGTAAATGTCGTGGGCGACGACAGTTATTTGGGAGGGCGGGGGAACTAGGAGTGGGCAAGCAGGGAGACAAGTCGCAATGCAACAGACTGGCTCAGCAGGACCATGGGGTAAGGCGCCGAGATGTGTAGAAGTGCATGCCTCCTGAGCCTCCAGCCAATTGTGAATGTGCGTTGGTGGTGATGAAGCTCAGCCAACGGGATAACGACGTTTGCCGCTGTCCGCGGACAAGGATCTGTAGGAGCCACTTACAAGCTGCAGCTGCTCGTCACTGTACAACCGGTCGCCCGCTGAGGCACGCAAGCACGGACCATCACTAAGTAGATTCCAGTGCCATCTGCTGCCAGCCCACCGTGTCCCCCAGTTGAGCCCTGCGAAGCGACCTGAACTTGCCTCTCTTCGGAATACATCTAACCCTTTTTGGTAAGCGTACTGTCGCCAATCCCTCCAACGGTGTCTATCCTCTTGCGTTTGCCCAATGACAACAACCTCGTACTCCAAATCCCATGCTCATAACGATGGACCAAGCACCAACAGCACCAACGGCATGAAGGTTTTCAGTCTCCTATTGGTAGTCTCTTATGCTGGCTGTGGGAGCATGCGACGATGTCCCGCCATTCTCGGTCCTGTTCCATCGGGCATCCTCTTCCAGGGCCCAACTGTGCTTGTACAGCACTAAGGTAAGGGAAGGAGAGAGAGCCTTACCAAAGTTGCATCTAGCAATGTTCACATTCCTCCTGACTCTGAGAGAGGCCCTCACGGTGCCTCATGGTGTCAGCTGGGGGGAACTCTCAGCCTTACAACCAAATCTTTGGTCCAGCTTTCTGGAAAGCATATATCGTTAGATTCGTTGAACGTGGTCTTTATCTGTAACCCAACTTCCTAGAAAGCCAAAGAATCGTGGATCGCACCTTACACAGTGCCGCCCACTTACGGACGAGAGCAGAACGGGAGAGGTAACCGCGGAGCAAGACCGGAAGCGAGTGATCTGCGGACTGAGGACTGCAGATGCACGAGACCGGTTTGCTACCGCCGGGGCTGCGAGTCGTCCACAAAATAGGTCCAAGGGGGCTGACGTCTACGGAGTACGCTGAGATTCGGTCACGCCCGTCGCGTGATTTTTCTCTGCTTCCCGCCTCATCGAATCCGGTCCCCGCCTTAACGCCCTACACAGTCAACCAACTCTCCCCGACCGCAAGTCACTTGAGAGAAGGTTCCTCTGCCGATCCCAGGAAGCGAAGCCAACGGTTGGACAAGAGCCGCTTCCGAGTCTACGGTATCGGTGGAGAAGCCATACAGGGTCCCATTCGCCCAATACGCGGGCTAGTCAGCTACATCATCACTCCTACATAGCGTTGCAGCCTCCGGCCAACGTGCCAACCTCTCATTGAAGAAGGCAGCGCGTAGCTCAGCCAGTCAAAGATGAACCCGGGTGCGCTACCCGGGTTTGCTCCACAAGCAGGTACTGGGTAGTGAAGCTGCGCGGAACCATTCGGAGAACTTTCCTGCGACTAAGTCCGCAACTCCGGCGTTTAATAGAGGTTCTGCCCTCTCTTCTGCGGTTACCAACGAGGTTGTAATGCGAAACGGACGCAGTAGCGGTGAGAAAACAATCGGATGCTTAGCACAGGCTGTGGTGTAACTGCCGTCTTCATCCTTGCCTCTCATTCATGATGTAAGAAGAAGCCGCAGCTTGCGGGATACCGCTCGCGTTAAGCATGCCAATCTCATTAGGTCAAAGTACTCGTTCTAGAATGGTACATGAAATAGCAAGTTACAAAACGAAGCATGACCAAAGAAGACAAGTCTACACTGCCAGCCAAATTTCCCATCTAATAAATTAGTATGCCAAAGCATGTCGGACTCTTCGTGGATTGTATTCTTAAAGCTGGGAGACAGGTCTAGGGCCGTTGCTGCCAAGAACAACGTTGGTGCTGACATTGTTGTACCCAAAGTACGCAATCCTGTCATGGTTTGCACTGCAAAATATTGTCAGCTCCGTTGAGACCAAACATTATGAAGGTATCTCTTACTTCATCAGGGATAAGACCGCCTCATCCGTTGTCTCGTTGTGGCCCCAGGAAGCCGTCCATCCACCGTAGTCGCAGGGTGCGTCGTAGAAGCTCTTACCCAGCGGCCGAGTACCTTCGAACAGGGGAATGATGAGGAGGCATTGTTCGATTGGAGTTCCAAGGGCCTGGATACCGAATCTCATGATGAGTGCATCGCTGTAAGGCTGTCCTCGATTGAATTCATCTTCACAACTGTGTCAACAAACTGTTGATATAAAACCAACAGAGGTAGTCATTATAAACATATCAAACTCACATCTGACAAGGTCTCTGATCCTCCAGGCAGAGGCATATGGCAGGTTCACCTCTTCCTCCCTGGTCTCAACATCGCGCTTGACCGCCGGCATCGGGTAGATGTACACCGTAGACTGCTGTGGCGCGGCACCGTCGCCGGCCCAGAGGTCGACGTCCCTGTAGGCGAAGAAGGACAGAAGCTTCCTCTCGTCGTTGATAATCGTCAAGGTTATGAACTCGCGCTCGTCCCAGCCGCCGTTGACGGTGTACTCTGGTCCGCCGGGGCATTTTAGGGACGAGAAGTCGGTCTGGTACGCGGGCAGCCCGCCGGCGGCGTCAATGTCAAAGTTGCAGTACTTTGGCGTCTTTGTCGCGTCTTCGGAGACGAGAAAGCTGTAGCTGCATCGGCTCTGGTCTTCGACGCAGGTGCGTCGGAAGTCAAGGAGCGTCCAGTCTTCGGGGTTGGCGGGTTGGGGAAGCACAGATGGGAGTGCGAGCGCCTGGGTGGCGGCGAGAGCGGCGAGGATGAGTCCGAATTTGAAGGCCATTGTAGGTATTTTGAGTCTTGAGTGTTTTACTTGTCCTGGTGATGTTCACAAAATGCTCTGGTTCTCAGACTCGCAGTAGATAGAGCCATTTTATAAGTCTTCATGATAGAGATGACTGGTTTCAGCAAACAGCGGTGGCATCGCGAAAACAGGACTCACGGTCGTATGTCAAGGATGAGTTTGCAGAACGAAGACATGTTGATGAGTGGGATTGATTGCTTCCCACTCATGTTTTCAGGACGTACGACCCAAACGGCCTCCTTTTTTGCGGGACACAGACCGATTCACGCGATGGGTAAAGTCACACATGCTCCAAAAGCACCGAATCGGCACAGGTCGTGCTTACCCAGATGGTTTTGTGTTGAGACTTTTGGTGATTCTAGATTGCCCATCGTGTCCCGTTGAACATCCTCAAGCAGTCGAGCTTCCAGATCTCACCGCAAGACTTGCCGGCTGGATGACACGCCGTAGAATACAGAATGTAGCGCAGGGCGCTATGACTCTTCGGCCCGATTAACAGAGAACATTCATATTTCAGCACCGATAAGAGTTCTAGAGCATTGATGAACATGATGTTCTTCGATGAGGTGAAAGGAAATAAAAGGCAGAAATACGGGCTGCAGCGTACGGATGTTTAAAATTTGGGCAACACGCATGTTGTGCAACGGCAGCGCCACGAGGGAAAATTGCCAAGGCGCGGACAACGACAAGTACGAATTGTCGAGATGACCTCTTGGGAATGTGAAATGCTCCTTGCGGAAACAAAACATTGTTAAGGTTTCATGCATATTGTAGGAACATAAGTCTGCTCGATAAACGACGATTGTTCGGGCTGTAAAGGTCTTGATCGGCAACAGTATCCATGGCTGGAGTGACAAAGAGTCTTTTAAGTCATGCAAGGGCCCGTGGATGGAAATGAACTCAGCTGCGATGTCGTATAGCAAATGTTATCCGGTACGAGACGGGATCAAAGGAAGTGAAAAGGAGGAGAAATAAGAGGCTGATCTCGTGCAACGAAGTGTTGACTAGTTTGGCAAGCCAGCCCGTCAGACTCCTATTACGTCCATTTTGTGGGAGAGTCCTAGACCCAACATGTACCGATATGGTTGTGTTGTGATAGTCTACTTTGCTGAGGATAGGAATTGTAAAGCCAGCTGTTCAACGGGGGTTTAAAGAAGGAATAACGGGACTTCAAGTTGTGTGATAGTAAGTTGAAGGCAAGAATGACATTGAACAAAAATCTGAAGGGTCGAAGCCTCCAGGACCGGGACGTCGTCTGCTTTTCAATTCTCCTAAAGAGTATCGAGGTGGAACCAAGCTGCCGGTGTGAACTATAGAATGAAACGCAACGCGGAACAGAGCTGAGCACAAAATACGGAAGCGATGCTCCACGACTGACTGTCAGTGTCAGTCTGTCAGAAACAAAAAATTCTGTTGCACCGTTACTGGTGGTGGGTGGTGGTGCTCAAGGCGGGAACCTATGCTACCGAGCTCCATTCTGCTGAGGTTCGCCCCGCGGAGGTTGGCTTATGCAGCCACTATCACATCTGTCTTCTATTCACGGAAATTTGGCTGCAAGTGACGACTTCCGCGGGGGACGCCATAGCAAATGGGAGCCAGCCAAGTGCGTTGTGTGGGTGTCTGCAGTAGCATGACCGCTAGCCTAGAGTTGGAAGACGTTGCGTTACCGTCAGGCCCGGCAGCGCTGATAACTCACTGCAGGTAAGGTATTTTGGTAATAACAGATTGCAATTATATGGCTGTGGTGAACTTCATCTCGTTGGTTGATAGACGCGGGAAGCACAATCGCGAGGCTTCAATGCATTCTAAGGCTTACGTGAATCAGAAAACGTTGAAATTTTCAATGCCATGATCATAAGCCAGCGAGAAGTGATAATGAGTGAACAGCATTGCCACTACCTTGGTCCGGCTAGGAGAGACGTCCGAACGTGAGCAACAGACCAGAAGTGAGGGGTAAAGGAATGAGACCGGTCATTCAAGCGAGCCTGTGAGGGAACTTTGGAGAAAATGGAGATATCTCACTCGGGAGACTGCCGCCCGCTCAGAAATGCGACCTCGTGGCAGTCTTGACTCTTGGCCATAGCTTAGGTGGTCTGATTTCCCTCAACCCCGGCCGTTAATCAGAGTGCCAGAGGAGTTCGGTGGCGGAAAGACTGGATCCCTCGGGCGGGAAGACGGCCGCTAAGTGGTTGAATGAAGCCAGGATGAGAGGAGGGGGCCGCATCCCCGGCCGGCGGCTGCGAGGCCACTCAATCCTATCCATTCCGTTTCCACTTCCCGTCTTCAAAAGGCAGGGTATCTCACGCAAAATGTGCCGCCCGACCAGTCAGCGACTCGCATCTTTGCGAACCCCGGCTTGATCTATCTTTGTTTTGGCGCTGGTGTTCATGTTTCCTCACTCCTCATTCGACGGGGTTGACCTCGAACCTCTAGGATTGTGGCACTTTGCGCCGTCTCATTGGCCGTGTGTTCACTCTGATCCATCTCGGCGTGCTATTCTCAGCTCGGAATCCCCCGCCAGGGTCGATCTGGAGAAGCAACGCACGACTTACATGTTCGCTTTACCATGTTGGGGATGCTACATTTTATTTTGGCTTTTTCTTCGGCTGGCTGGAAGCCTGGAAGTCATGGCGACTACTGTACGCTACGGCACACCCTCAAAATAGACCAGCCCTCTCTCTGCAATGAGAATGCTTGCAAATGCAGAGCCGCCTGCCTGTCTTGCATGGGATCGCCGTGCTCCCGCGATGCTACCTCTGTGTTATCCTTTGGTATATCTGCAATACGTCCCTCGGACTCGAAACTTGAACTGCGTCTCTTGATGGATTTTGGAAGGTCCATCTTTGAACTCCGTGTCCTCGATACATTCTGTCAAGTAGACAGTGTCTTTGTGAATCCTTGTTCACTTACACGCGGGGGAAATCGTTGCATGCCATGCTGTTGAAGAAGCTATCATAACCTTCTCCCCGCCTTGGACGCCCTTCCTACGCCCATCCGCCAAAACCCAGACGGCTTCCGACTGGCCTTTTCATAATGTCGACTTTCTCCCTGCGGCATCTCCTTGTCGTGTGCTCTCTCATCATAGCCGCCTTCTCGCTAGAGGTGACACCAGGCTCAGACTGTGCGGCCTTGTGCCTGGGTGGGACGAACGGGACGGTCATCGACACTGCGACATCAGGGACCAACTCCTCCGACATCGTATGCGAGAACAACCAATATCACTCTAGCGGCACCGGCATCAAGTTCAAGAACTGTGTCAACTGTCTGCAGAAGAGCCAGGCTACCAAGGGCCCGGAGAGCGACGCTGCATGGTTCATGTGTAAGATTATAAACACTCACCAGGGTGCTTGCGTGAGTCTTGTCTGACATGATTTTTTTAGACAATGTTCGTTACGCCGTTGACGTCTGTCTGTTCAACGTCCCCGACGCCATCTCCACCATCAACTCGCCCTGCATCATCAACAGCGCCTGCTTGCCCCTCAAGAACGCTCTGACAGCCGCCCTTACAACGCCAGACGCTGATACGGCATACGACTACTGCACGGCGGACGGAAACAAGTTTTCGAGCTCAAGCTGGTGGTCCTGTGTGAAGTGTCTTCAGTCCAGCGACGACCAGAGCTATCTCTCAAACTGTAAGCAGTATGCGAAGAGAAAACTTGCATCAACAAACCCGCTGACCTCCCCCTTCAGTTCTCATCGCCCTCAAGGCCGGCTGCCAACGAAAGCCAACGGACGGAAGTCTGATCGGGCTCACCGGGCAGCTCTTCTCCAAAGAGATTGTCAACATCACCGACTCGGCAACGAACACCACGCTCCCCGGAGACGGCGGAGCCTCCTCGACGACCATGACGCTCGGCACCATCGTGGGCATCGCCGTCGGCGGTGGTCTTGTCTTCGTCGGCGCCATCTGCCTCTTCATCATCTACTGCCGCAAGCAACGTAAACAACGACTCCAGGACGAGGGCGCCTCTCTCCACTACCACCATCAACAACTACCCCCCAGAAGCAACGGCAGCTCCTTCACCGCGACCAGTAATGGGGCCTACCTCCCCATCGGCGGCGCGGACCACAAGAAATCCTCCTCCATCAACTCGTACAACTACGAGCTCCAAGAAAAGAACATCATCGCGAGCAGCAACAACAACAGCTTCAACAACAACGCAGAATACTACGACAGGCTGGAGCAGGAAGTCCAGGCCGGCCGCGAAATCTCCCACTACAACTTTGACCCGCACTCGGGTCACCACGGCCCCAGCAGCGCCTTACCGACACACCCGGCCTACATCCCCCGCGCCATGAGCCGGCAGTCGAATCGCAGCACGCCGACCCCGACGCCGCCGATCCGCAAGACCAACACGCCGGACTCGTACGCCCTGCAGACGTACCTCAACGCGGCAGAGGACCCCCTCTCCACCATCAGACCACCACCCCGCGCCGTATCCCGGACGCCGTCGCCCGCTCGGTCGCAAGGGTCCGCGTCTTTTACTACAACCACCAACAATAACACACCAAAGGTGATTAATATCCCGCCTCCGCCTCCGGGGAAACCTTCGAGGAAGACGTCGGTGCGGATACCCTCCATCTCCCTCCCCTCGGTGCCGCGGATCCGCGTGCCGAAGCAATACTCCCCGCCCTCCATCACAGTCCAAGGCGCTACGCCGATAGCGGACCGCGGCGAGAGGACAAACGAGATGCAAATCTCGGAACCCTTGACCTTCCACGAGGAGAGGTTCAGAGACGAGCCGCTCGCGGGCCGGTCGGCGATAATATCGCACCAGGTGCCGGTGCGGGTTGACCCTGAAGAGTACGAGGGTGATATGCCGATTCGGAGCGGCAAGAGTACTCTGTATGGATAAAAAGGACTTTGAGTTAGGTAGTGGGTAATGTGTCCTTACAATGGCGCAAAGGAACAATCGGTAGTATACCAAGGATTGTACGGAATGGAGGACGGTTCTCTCTTTTTGATATCATGGAGTTTTTTTGGAATGGGTCGGTAGTTTGTATGTTTACAGCGTGCTAGCCTGCGACGTCAGGTAATCAAAGTGATCGAAAGGGTCATGGAACAAATACAATGTTCATCATTGAATAAGTCTATCGTACAACGACTATTGTAGCATTTGAGTTAACCCAGACGTCTGCCAGGTCCTCTTGTCCTCCACGACTCGGGCAAAACACCGCCGCCCTGTGATACACCAGTGCTGCTACCCGAAGTTTGGGCGGAGCCACCACCGCCACCACCGCGAACGGCAGTTCCGTATCCACGCTGATTAAAGCGAGGCGTCTGCACAAGACGAGACAGAAAGCCGGGTGTAGGGATCAGGTTGCTGCCTCCGCTGAACTCAGGCCACACGCGGGACAGGAAATCGTAGAGGTGAGCGGCCAGGAAGCCCATAAGCTGGAGCATAGCGGTGTAGTATCCGCCAGGGAACAGCAACGACACGAGCATCATGCAGAACGGAGTGAGCTGAGCGGGGATGGTGACGAAGTAAAAGTTGGCCTTCATCCCACGTTGGTCTTGGGTGACGGTACGGCACATGGCGAGAATCAAAGCCGGCAGGAAGGCTCCTCCGCCCATGAGGTAGGTGCAGAGTGCCTGTGCGATATTAGCGCATGCTCCTTTGGGCCGAAGCTGGATGATGATAATGATGGTCATGGCAATGGTATAAATAGTGAACAAGAGAAACAAAAACCCAGAGTTCGGGTGTTGATATGTAGGGCGCTAAGAAAACCACTCGAGCAACATTGTGAGGTTGCACGAGCCATCCATAAGACATCCCACCATGCCCACGCCACAAGCCACGTCCCTAAAGCGAAAGAGGACGGGTCGCGCCGTGAGGGTAATCTTCCTCATTTCCAGGAACCGCTGACAGCTGTGGGAATCCACTGTGCGGGCAGATAATATGAGGTGCAAAAGAGTTGTGTGTATAGCAAGAGAGGAAGATATTTCTTCTCTCGTGTGGGCATTGTGTATAATAGAGAAAGTTTTCCCAAGGGGAAATAGCGCATGGTTTTGGACGGACTGCCGGAGCAGCGACAATAACAACTTACCGTGATGACAGTGCAAACGAACATGAGATACCAGATGACATCCTCGCGCCTGGCGAACCTAGGGTTGCCGACCTCGAGCGCCGTCAGGTAGTGGTACAGGAAGTACGTGTCAAAGAGCAGGCCAAGTTGGGGGCCGGTGAGCAAGAAGTTGGTCCCGAGACGCCAAATCTGAGGCGGGATCTGGAAAAGAAACTGGGGCATGAAGATGAACCAGTATCCGTTTGCGACGCCCAGGAGAACAGAAAGAGAGGTGACGAACGCGGCTGTTGCAAATGTTCTGTTCAAGACGAGTCAGCAAGGCTGAGAAAGAGAAGCAAGGTGAGAGGGATGAGCTGTGCTTACCTTGCAACAGGCGGCGCCTGCCAGTAGGCATCGAGGAACTCGGACATATTTTCCAATGTCCAGCAAAGCTGTGTTCCAGTGCGTTGAAAAGGCAGGTAAGTAAGAAGTCGTTGAAGCAAACGAGAGAATGTGGTGATGTTGCAGATGGCAAGGCAGCTAGCAAATTGGCCAGGCTGCACTATTTATCTGCAGGGCGTTGCGGGAAAGGGAAGACGTGACCAATCAGACAGCAGGCTACAGCGCTGATGTGTTGGTGTTGGTCACCTAAGCTCTGTTCCTGACCCGTGTCCTCTCCTTTTGGGGGCGAGCTGGGGAAAGCTGGAAGGACAAAGAAGCGTGCCTACCTCTGCGCTTTTCAATTCTTTTTTTTCTGCCGCTGGAGCTCCATCTCTCTTGGGTGGGCCTGCCCCCCCAAGCGGTGAAAATTGGAGAATGCGGTCGGGTACGATTTACTTACCTTACCTTAGGTAATCGTGGTAATACCTTCCTGACCTTCTGTTAGGTTGATGGCAGCTGCAATCGCTGACAGTTGAGGGGTGATGATTGGGCAATGCCCCACCTCATCCCAAGTCTGCCCCTCCCCGCCACTGGCAGCTCCGACACACGGCGCCCACTGATAACGATTAGTGACTCCAAGAAAAAGTCCCAATTCAGCTTTGACGATACTCAATACACTTGCGATATTTCCTCAATCTTGAGACTAATTCCTCACACACTCCCCTGTTCTCGATCAAATTTGACCTATTCACACACCAGCCATGTCTGCAACATCTCACCCGCCCAGATGGGCCGCCCTCGCGCGCGACACCAACGAGACAAAGATCCAGATGGCACTCAACCTCGATGGCGGGGCATTCCCCCCCGACACGGACGAGAGGCTCACCGCGGCCGTCACCGAACACGCCTCCCAGGCAAGCAAGTCCCAGACCATCAGCGTGAACACGGGCATCGGCTTCCTCGACCACATGCTCCACGCCCTCTCCAAGCACGCCGGCTGGAGTCTGGCCATCGCTTGCAAGGGCGACCTTCACAGTTCGTCTCCCTCAGTAACAACCAGCCAGACATAGAGAGAACCATCCACCCACTTACACCTTGACCTACCCCTGCACAGTCGACGACCACCACACAGCAGAAGACGTCTGCATAGCCCTGGGCTACGCCTTCGCCGCCGCCCTCGGCAGCGCAACCGGCCTCGCCCGCTTCGGCTACGCCTACGCGCCCCTCGACGAGGCCCTCTCCCGCGCCGTCGTCGACCTCTCCAACCGGCCCTACAGCGTCGTCGAGCTTGGCCTCCGCCGCGAAAAGATTGGCGACCTGTCCTGCGAGATGATCCCCCATTGCCTCCAGAGCTTCGCCCAGGGCGCCAGAATCACCCTCCACGTCGACTGCCTCCGCGGCGAAAACGACCACCACCGCGCTGAGAGCGCCTTCAAGGCCCTCGCCGTCGCCGTTAAGATGGCCACCAGCCGCGTCGCTGGTAAGGAGGGCGAGGTGCCTAGCACCAAGGGAACCTTGAGCGCATAAGGAAAGAAAAGGGAAAAATAAAAGACAGGAAAAAAAAACATGGTAAAAACGTAAATCATGGGGAACACACAGCCTGCGAGAGAGAGGTTTCTTGGAATCATTTGAATAATCCGAGTTGATATGATACCCACGCCAAACTCCATGCTATCATCTTCGGTGGTCGAAAAAGACTACTCGTACAATAATGCCTGAATCATATCCCTTCAACCCAAACGCCATACACACTAAAGAGCGGAAGAATGTGAACCGCCCCAAAATGCAAATTAACATTATGAGCGCTGTGGTCGCATGTTCTCCTTGTTATTGCTCTGGCCCGACGCTGCGCGCCTCTTGTCGGCCTTTCTCTGTTCTATTCGCGCGATGGCCGCTGCTCGTCTCTGCGGAGGTAATGTGCTCTTGGACATGTTTGCCGCCAGCATGGTGCTGGCCTCGACATCGGGCTCTCCCGGCCCCCCTAGCCGAGCAAAACGATCCTGTAGCAAATCGATTGGTGCGTCCTTGTCCTTGCTGGAGAACCTGTGTCGAGGTGCCGGCGTGTTGCCTGTCGGAACCTCGCTCGAGGTGACAATCCGGTCGTTCAGATCAGGACCTAGGTATTCTCTGTTGCGGGGTGACCTTGGGATGAAAGGTCGCCACTTAGGCTTGTCAAGACTGATACGATTCGAAAAGATTTCGGACTGGGGGCGCCTCGGTGGTTCTCTCGCCGGCGGCTCGTCGTCTGAACTGGGGGAGTCGGCATCTCGCTGATATTTGTCTCGAAGATTTTGAGACTTTGGCTCGTTGAGCTTCTTCCCTAGTGATTCTACCAGGTCGAAGCTCCGGCGGCCTATTTCGGTCGATGTTTTACGGCCTTTGTGATCCGCAGTGAAGCGGTCAGTCTCTTGAGCGCGTTGTTCTCTGACGGCAGGCTCTCGTTCATGGGGAACAGCAGTGTTCTTCGTCTTCGGTACATCAGCTGTTCCTGCTTTGAGAGTCTTGTTTTCTCTCTTGAGCTCGTTGATCTTCTCCGTCGCCTTCTCTAAGATGCGCCGCGTATCTTCTTGCGTAGCTTCGGCATCCATTCTGTAATTCTCAAACTCCGACTTTAACTTGCGTAACTCATCGTCTTTCTTGCGAATCGCATCCTCTAGCTCGTCCACGCGCTTCCCCGTTGTCGTGGCGTCATTGCCTTGTTCCTTGTTCTGTGATGGTTGTTGCTCGGCAAGCCGTTTGTTTTCTTCGGCGAGCTTGTTTGCTCGTTGCTCTGCAAACAGGAGATCGGACTTCAGCCGCTCTACTTCCTCTCGTAGCTGCCCATTCTCCTTGACTTGTGTTCTAGCCTTCCTCAATTCTCGCTGGGCCTCGAGCAAGGTCTTGTGTGTTCGTGGTGAGGCAGCCTGCCGCCGGCGCCTGCTTCGTGCATCCCCCTCGTCGTCTTCGCCATTCTCGCGGTTCTCTAAAAGGGCCGCCAATTCTTGCACCTGCGTCCGGTACTCAACAGCTACGGCAGTCTGTTTTGCCAAGTCTTTGATGAGCTGAGGGTTGTCTCTCTCTTCGCCGCTGGCTCGCTGCTTCGCAGCAATCTGCGCCGCCATCTCAGAGATCTTCTTCTCCATTTTGGCGGCCTTCTCTTGCTCCTCCCTGAGTTTGGCGTTGAGGTCGATAGCCTCGGCGTCCTTCATCTTGGCGTATGACTTGGCAAGCTGTTTGTACTTGAGCAATTTCTCCATCTCGGCTTTAGCGTCCTGGTGATATTGTTCGAATTCCGACTTCCAGTACTTGCCCGACCGCGAATGGGGCTCGTTAAGGTCCATTGTGATATCGTGCATGCATTGGTCGTCGTCAGCCTCCTCCCATTCGTCCTCAGCATCGTCGCTCCTGGCTGCGGTGGTCCGCGTCTGGCTCCTCTCCCGCGAGCTTGAAGTTCCTTTGTTGCGTCGTGAGTTCTCCATTGTTTCGGTCA